TGACGCCTTGGTTATATCAGCCACCATGATACCTACTGAAGAATCGATATGAGTTTTGTTTGAAGATGTTATATATGATAGACGGTTCGAGCCTCGGGGGTACATATGTTACATGATGATTTATAGGACCTGCGATGAATAAAGATTATATATCCTGATGTACACAAGGGTTGAATTGGTTTCAGGGTGAAATAAGTCAATAAGCGTTATTGCTGTTAGATTTCGATTTGTAGCTCACCAGAACATGTGATTATGACATTGTACTTTGTTTGTCGTCTAGTCGTTAATGAACTGTCTTAACATACTTTGAAAAATGTTTATAACCAAAGTGTTTTTAATGTTTAAGAATTCTCTTCTCGGGAACCAGAAGATCCAGTGAGCTGAAACCATGGAAAGACCACAACTCGTTCTTCAGGGCATGTTAGGGGGCACGGGTGGCCCAGTCGTCTAAAGCGCCGCGTTTCGCCTTGGGCACGCCAGAAACCTATGATTGTGCGTTCGAATCCCGGTTCGCCCCGATTATGTTTCTAGGTTTTTCAGCACCATACCCGTGCTCGTGGGCTTCACCGAGGTGGTAAACGTCTGAGACCTGCATCACTTCGGGCTTTCCTCCCACATTAAGCTGACACGCCGTGAAATAACTGGAATACCGTTAAAAGCGGCGTTAAACTCAACTCACTCACTCACTCGGGGCATGTTTAAGTAATACGCTTTTAGAAAATAATTCACATTTTCTGACAAAAGGGATGTGCCTTCATTTTATCATTACCGAGATATATCAAGACTTATAATTGTTCAAGGCATTCGAAATGGTAAAACTTTTTCTGTTGTCATATATTCTTAATTCGGTCAAACTTGTTTTTGATTTTGCTTTGTGTTTGGTTGTATTATTCAAACTCTATATAATGACATTACAGAATGCTAAAGTCGATTGTTTACATTCCAATGAATTTCATTTTGTGCAATAATGTTTGACAGTAAACTGATATATAGACTTATTTATAAATGTATAGTCGAGGTTCAAGAGTTATTTAAAATCACACTAAAACACCTTCGATACCTTATTCACCATATGGCAGGTAGTAGTCCACATATGCTACCCCTGATCGTAACGATCCGGGTTAGAATAGGTCTTCAGCAACCCATACTTGCCGTAAAAAGTGACTATGCTTGTCGAAAGAAGCGAATAACAGGATCGGATGGTAAGGCTCGCTGACTTGGTTGATGCATGTCATCGTATCCCAAATGCGTGGACCGGTGTTCATGATATTAATCACTTGATTGTCTTGTCCAGACTCGATTTTTTACAGACCACCGTCATGGAATACTGCTGAGTGCGGCGTTAAACGACAGACAAACAAACAAAGAGTAATCCATGTTTCACAGCCATACGGTCATCAGTACCGGACTTTACGCTGATGTCATGATGTCCTAAAACATTAAATAGACAACACTAGGAAAATGTTTCTTATCACAGCGTACAACTTCAAGCTGCAAGTATATGAACAATGCTTAAAAATTGTTAACTTAGTGTTATTCAGATGTCTTAAAGGTAGCCATCGGGTGCTCGTTCCAAGCGTTTGGTACTAAAACGAGGCTGTATCATTGTGCCATTTTGAACACAGGCCGTAACTCATATAAACATTTTTTTCCGGTGCACTTGTATGTGATCATGCAAGAATAAATCGTTATCCACCAACAAGCAATAGTATTTACGTATTGATAGTATTTACGTAACCAGCTGCGAGAGCAGTGCAATCAAGTACCAACAGGCATAGCTGCCTATTATCTAAATAATTCAAAGATGAGTGTGTGCGATGGAAAGCATGTATTTACAATGATTGCCTTAGTTACATAGTATTTGTTTATGACTTCGTGGGCTGGTGGTTACGTTCTGAAGGTCATGGGCTGCGGTTAAGGTCTGAAGAAAGGTCTAATAGTCATGGACTGTTGGTCAGTGTCTGATGGCCATGTATTGGTGGTAAAGGTCTGATGGTCAAGGACTGGTGGCCAAGGTTGATGGTCTGATGGTCAAGAACTGTTTGTCAACGTCTGGTGATCATAGTATGATGGCCTTATGGTTGTGGACTGGTGACCAAGGTTTGATGGTCAAGGACTGGTGACCAAGATTTGATGGTCATGGACTGGTGACCAAGGTTTGATGGTCATGGACTGTTGGTCAGTGTCTGATGGTCATAGACTGGTGACCAAGGTTTGATGGTCAAGGACTGGTGGCCAAGGTTTGATGGTCAAGGACTGGTGGCCAAGGTTTGATGGTCATGGACTGGTGACCAAGGTTTGATGGTCAAGGACTGGTGGCCAAGGTTTGATGGTCATGGACTGGTGATCAAGGTTTGATGGTCAAGGACTGGTGGTCAAGGTCTGATGGTCAAGGACTGGTGGCCAAGGTTTGATGGTCATGGACTGTTGGTCAGTGTCTGATGGTCATAGACTGGTGACCAAGGTTTGATGGTCAAGGACTGGTGGCCAAGGTTTGATGGTCATGGACTGGTGACCAAGGTTTGATGGTCAAGGACTGGTGGCCAAGGTTTGATGGTCAAGGACTGGTGGCCAAGGTTTGATGGTCAAGGACTGGTGGCCAAGGTTTGATGGTCAAGGACTGGTGGCCAAGGTTTGATGGTCATGGATTGGTGACCAAGGTTTGATGGTCATGGATTGGTGACCAAGGTTTGATGGTCAAGGACTGGTGGCCAAGGTTTGATGGTCATAGACTGGTGACCAAGGTTTGATGGTCAAGGACTGGTGGCCAAGGTTTGATGGTCAAGGACTGGTGGCCAAGGTTTGATGGCCATGGACTGGTGACCAAGGTTTGATTGTCAAGGACTGGTGACTAAGGTTTTATGGTCAAGGACTGGTGGCCAAGGTTTGATGGTCATGGACTTGTGACCAAGGTTGATGATCTGATGGTCTGATCGTTGTGGACTGGTGGTTGTGGACTAATGGTAATAGACTGGCAGTTGAGGTCTGATGGTCATGGACTGGTGGTCAAGGTTTAATGGTAATGGACTGGTGACCAAGGTTTGATGGTCATGGACTTGTGACCAAGGTTGATGATCTGATGGTCTGATCGTTGTGGACTGGTGGTTGTGGACTAATGGTAATAGACTGGCAGTTGAGGTCTGATGGTCATGGACTGGTGGTCAAGGTTTGATGGTCATAGACTGGTCAAGGTTTGATGGTCATGGACTGGTGGTCAAGGTTTGATGGTCATAGACTGGTCAAGGTTTGATGGTCATGGACTGGTGACCAAGGTTCATGATCTGATGGTCTGATGGTAATGGACTGGTGGTTGAGGTCTGATGGTCATGGACTGGTGGTCAAGGACTAATGGTAATGGACAGGTGGTTGAGGTTTGTGGATCGAAGTCTGATGGTCAAGGTAGGAAGACAGGGTATTTGGTATCTTTATTCCATAAAGTATCCTTTGAAATCTTCTGGTTTCAGTATAGACAGAAAGGATATGAATACAAAATGGTTACCAAGGTATCTATCATGGTTTATCTTAGCATCTATGTCTGGTGGGTTTTATGGGATTTCTGGGAAGAATGAGTCCCAAGTATTCCATGTATGTCTTAATCAAGAGCTGAATTTTGATAATCAGGTCGTTACATTGACCTGATTGATTCACTCTTTACATCTCTCAGAAAATATTGTTATAGTGCAAGCCACCACAAACCGAGGAAATCAATACAAATCAAAGCAAGCGCTGAACAGAGGCAACCTAATAAATAATGATATGGAAAAGCATCTGCATGTGTTATATTTCTGTCAAGGGTTTACTTAAGTGATTGATTTGGGTTTAATGCCACTTTGACCAGTACTTCTATGTCTTGATGCAGGTCTGTTTGTTTGTTTGTTTGTTTGTTGCTTAACGCCACACTCAATATAGCAATATTCCAGCTATATGACGGTGGTCTGTAAATTATTGAGTCTGGGCCAGACAATCCAGTGATTGACATCATGAACATCGATCCAACCAAATCAGCTAGGATGACCACCAGATCCTGGATGCAGGTCTGAGACATTTACCACTTTGATGAAACCCATGAGCACAGCTTGGGTGTTCACAAACCTAGAAACATAATAACAGCTAACGAGGATTTAAAAGCATGATCATAGGTTTCTGGCATACCTAAAGGTGCAACTTCACAACAAATTGTGAGCATTAGATGCTGGCAGAAAGCAACATCCGCTCACTCAGTGAATGTCAACTGATCACATTTATTGATGTGAAGCTTTCAGATCTTGACATTACTGCCTCCAATCAATTGTTGGCAGTATTGCATTTTATATCACCTTCCCCTAGACAAACAAGATGTACAGATGTCCGAGTCAAGGCAAGATTCTATTATGGATATCGTCCACAAGGAATAATACAAACAGAAACAGAAACTGATTGTGTCGTGGTCACATTTGTTATTGACTAGGTCCCCATTTACAGAAATAGTAAATGGATTACAACCCAAGGCATTAGGGTTGGTTTGACTAGCAGGACATGATATTCCTTTCTCGAACACATGGTGTCACGAAAACAAGTTTACAGTGATCTATGATTCAGTATTTTTGTGTAAATTTGTAGCTTCTCTTTTCATACGCAGATCTAAAGTGAGGGTGCATGGGTGTGCATTCCACTTTTTTAAACACACCATTCATGATGAAAATACAACTAAATCATTTGGTGACATGCAAAATTACTATTAACGCCTTTTTGGCAAACATGTGCAAATAGTGTCCAAATTATTTTCATTCATCATTACATATTTTAAGTGCACACACCTTGCCTTTTCCAAAACATTGTTTCCCTTCCCTGCCACCCTTCCTCAAGCAGCTGTATCTGCACTTGCTTAACCCACCAAAGTCGGGTGGCATAAATAGTCTGCTGTGACCTGATGCATCTAAGTATTTCCGGCTGAGGAAACATTCACTGAAACTCATGACTAATTCATTATTCTTTCCTCAAAGAACAAATAAACACATCAATATGACTGTCATGGTTTATTCACATGTCCTTGTGTATCAAATACATAAAGTGTTTGTGAATAGAACTGTGTTTTTTAGGTCTGCATAGTACCAGCAAGGCTATAAACATCTTCCTAAAAGTAGTGTCTGTTGAGGCAGACAATGGTGCTAGCAGTAGTAAGGGCACTTCACATATATCTGTACTCCCTATTGGAGAACCAGGTTTTTTTCACTTTCAGACTCTTTTTTAAAAGGTCAATGAAAAATACATATATATTCATTGTTGCCCATTTAAAAAAGAGACTGCAATTGAAAACAACCCTCCAACGACTATTTATTTTAAGACTTGGTTTCCAAAATCTAAAAACAACAACAGAGACTAGGGAGTAGGGAGTAGGGTATATCTTCTTGTTCAGTAGTTTCCCAGACGCTGAACTGCCTTCACTTGGTGACATTTTATTTGTATCACCAGACAATGTGACTTACAGACAAACTGATGCATTCATCTACCAAGAGGAAGTACTAGTGTTTCTACAAGTAACTGATCTTGGATCACAAGTTAACAGACTTGTCTTAAAGGGGCACTGTGTTCTTAAATCATGCATGAAATAATTTCCGAGTGTGACTCACATGCCCAATTCAATTCTCAAACCAAAGCAATAGAGCTCTGCACAGTGAAGCCGACAACGCAAGCGCTGTGCAGAGTAAACTGAATTCAGTCTTGTTTTTAATAGAGGCAAATTGAAGAGAAAGATTGTGTGCTTTTCTTAAGGCTGAGTAACAAAAATACTAATTGCCAGATTGATTAGATTAGAAGCCAGTGTTTATCAAAGCCTAGATTACAATATAAAGTCAATCACTCTCCTACCCAGAGTTCCTTGAGGCCAGCTGCGTACCATCTTACACAATCCATTCATATGTTTTTTATGTTTAATTTTGTTCGAGTCACAGCTACATAAACATGTCATGAAACATTAAACTTTCATTGAGAAAATATCCTCAAATGGGAAAAACTATTTCCATTTGCGTATTTATCTTCCACGTCCATTCATCAACGCCCTACCGAGAGCTAGCAATATACGGTATCTTTGATGTATGAAGCTATATTGTCATCCACCTCACTGTCGCAGTGTAGAAGTATGTCTAAATAATTACTCAAAACAATATGTAAAATACACAAAAAGGCTTGCATTAGGCCCGTCTGTTCTTATTTGAGAATAAGTGAGTTTGTTTACAAAGTGGAAAGTCCGGTCACGTGATAAGCCTACACTCGTGGTGTGGTCACTCAACAGAAACGGAATAAGGCGAGCAGAGCCAAGTAAGCTTGAGGGTTATCTGCTGTTGTTTACAAACAAAGCTTCAGAACCGTTGACTTCCCATCCCTTTAAGTGGTACACGTTTTCTATTTCATCTTATCTATGGTGTGTATGTAATTCTATCACCAGGTATTACAATAATTTACTTGATGTATAGAGTATAGTAAAGAGTTACCTGAATCAACTGATTCAAGCTTGTTAGGACTGGCAATATCCCGGAGTGTAGGTGTTCTACACTCAATGCTCTCACAATGTTTTTACACTGTCACCATGTGACTGTGGGAACCTAGATGTTAGCCATTGTTTCAGCCTATTTCCATCAACGTCTCATAGCTCTGAATCACTTGATACAAACCATGAAAATCAAGTACGTAGAATAAATGCTGGTAGATCACTAGTAGATCACTGCTCAACTTTGTGAAAAATGATAATATCTAATTGTAGAATCTCTTGCAGGTACAAATAACATAATTCAAATATAGTTTCTAGTTTGGTAGATGTTTAAGTTTCATATCTTCAGCTTTGAAGAGAATGTGTACCATGTTGACAACAGGCAAATATCATCACAGAAGAGATACATAATAATATATAATCAACGATATTTTAAACTTAGTACATAATAAAATACACAGAGAGAGAGAGAGAGAGAGAGAGAGAGAGAGAGAGAGAGAGAGAGAGAGAGAGATAGAGAGAGAGAAAGAGAGAGAGAGAGAGAGAGAGAGAGAGAGAGAGAGAGAGAGAGAGATTTCATTCATTCCATTCACATCAACACACAGGGCATACAATGCATGCTGGCTGTGGTAGGAATAGGAAGTAGACATCTGGACAGCGCCAACTTCTTCTATTCACACCTACACACATTAATGTGCCAATTTCTTCAAATAAAAGCCCTTTGCTAGATGTGTGAATTGGTTTCAAGAACTTTGTCACACAAACACCTACCAACACGGAGCATTACAGTCTGTAATCTTCAATTTAAGGAGACGCAAATATGATGACTGTAACATGCCCAGTTTAATAGTCCTGTATCTATAAATAATGCCACACAGTAGCCCAGTGGCTGATGTTTGCCAGTCAAAACTAAGAGCTTGTTTAGAAGTTCTGCTTCATGGGCCTGCCACTGTGAACTAGAGTTGTGAGTGATGATTGTTGAATGTTTAACCGCTGTGGAAGTCTTCATGAAGTTGAAGTACTGGCCACTGGTTTCAGTTTCTTGGCACCAACAGCTGCAACAGCAAACATGTCGTCATGGAATGTTCTCTCTAAGCTGCGATTTACATCAATACTTAGGAAGTGGGAGTGAGTATGGTTTTACACTGATTTTAGCAGTAATCCAGCAATATCACAGCAGGGGACACCTGAAATGGGCGTCACACATTGTACCCATGTGGGGAATCAAACCCAAGTCTTTGGCATGACAAGCAAATGCCTTAACCACTTGGCTACCCACCGCCCCATTAATACTTACACCTTTTAATATTTATAAGTTAGTTTTAAAAAAACGACCAACATAATATAAAAAAAATATTAAAAAAAAATGACAAATGTTTTTGGAGCCAACACTGTTTCATGATGAGGTGTTGGTATAATTACCAGGTATTAGGAGAATGAAACACTGAACCTGAAACTACTTTCTGCCAGGATCCAAACTCCTGGTGAACACACTTGCTGACAGAGATGAGGAATCTGGTGACACAAGTGTCAAACCATCGACTACAAGCACAAGAGTCAGTGTCCTGCCACCAGGCCAAGCAAAGCTTACTTGTCTTTTAATTATTGACAGAAAGTAAAAATGGAAATGCATTTTAATCTTCAACCACCTAGATTGAGTTTGGGGCCAAACATTTTGTAAACCAATTGAGTCTGACATAATTACACCCTCAACCCTCAGGCTACTTTTACCAAATACTATTATCCATACAATTTATACTCAATCAAAATACAATGGGCATTTCTGGGCAAAGGAAAGACCAACAAATAATAATTCAAAAGTTTCATGCCTAAAAAATAAAATGGGCAGCTTATACATTATCAAGATAATCATATCAAATTAAGATAGAATGGACAGTGTTCAGTATTTTCTAACAATTTGTTTGTTTCTTGTTTTAAAAGAGGATTCAGCAATATTCCAGCAGGGCGTCCAGCCACAGAAACTAATGTGACCGACTACTATGTCTCAGGAAGCCCTTACCTTTAACATAGCAGACCTCAGCATCCACTCCCAGTTTCAGCAGGGCGTCCAGCCACAGAAACTAATGTGACCGACTACTATGTCTCACGAAGCCCTTACCTTTAACATAGCAGACCTCAGCATCCACTCCCAGTTTCAGCAGGGCGTCCAGCCACAGAAACTAATGTGACAGACTACTATGTCTCATGAAGCCCTTACCTTTAACATAGCAGACCTCAGCATCCACTCCCAGTTTCAGCAGGGCGTCCAGCCACAAGATCTGTTTGTGTGACAGACGATCCCCAGGGCCCTTCACCTCACAGATCTGTTGGGAATGAAGCACTTATGGAAACATTACACTGTATTGTGCTGGACACTGTTGTAGGTCACTTTATTCAATGAAATGATTTTTCATGAAAATATCTTACAAAGTTAAATTAAATATGCATTTATTAAAGTTTAATATAGATTTCAAGATTTATTATAGAAATATTACAGATCTACACAAAACAGTTGATAGATTTATTCACAAAGACCTATTGGTACAAATTACATCCCATTTTGTTACCAAGCGAAAAAGTACCGTTTTAGGCTTATCACAGTGTCAGTTAGGATATGTTAGATTAGGTAGATATGCATTATAGTAATGTATGCTATTTTCTTAGCCTTATGATACATATTTAAAAAATGAAACCAGGAAAGTATTTTCCAAGCATTTCCGATAGTACTTAAGATATGCTACGACCTCAGGAAACAGTGAGATTGGTAACTGTACCTTGAATGTCTTCGTATCAGTGTTCCACAGCGTGAGATCGGGGAAGCCGCTGCGTGTATGACGAGGTTCCATGGCGTACCGTCTCATCATCCCTGCCAACACCTTCCCTCCGATACAGCTGACCAGCCCCTGCAGGAAGACAGCACCAGACTCACAAACTAAATACCCTTCTGATTTCCATGGACACATTAGTGTCAGTGGCCACACTTTGAAACAGCAGCATCATAAACATTGCATCTACATGTGGTTGGTCAGACAGATCTTGTAGTAGTGAATGGCTGTACATCATGTTGTGAGAGTACCTGAGCATGTTCAAGGCTCTTGAACCTCTCCCAGTTGAGTCCTGCACACATCTCCCCATTGTGGGCATCCCAGGTGGCGGCCATCATCTCGTGTAGAGCCTGGCAAGGAGAGAGCGTGTGTGAGAGGGGGAATGTAAGTGTTTCAGCTCCAGTGCAGAGGAAAGCCAAACTCTGGTCATAGATGTATTCAAACCATTAAGTGTTGAAGTTGTTAGGACACTTGGTTACACTTTTCAAATCTGGACATACAAAGGCTGTCCTATATGGTTTGTGCTGGCTTGTCTAAATGCCTCACAAAATGTCCCCAAGAGTCAGAAGGTAAAATCGCAAATTGGGTAACTTGATTCACTGAAATGTTGGTTTGGCCGAATGCAGAATGTAGAAATCATATTTGTAAAGGAAGGCAATGACAAGAGATGTTTGTAGAAGGAGTGAGTGAGTGAGTTGGGTTTAACGCCGCTTGTAACAACATTCCAGTTATATCACAGAGTGTCCGCTTGATGTGGGAGGAAAGCCCCAAGTGATGCAGGTCGTGTTGCAGTGATGTTTACCTTTTTGGTGAAACCCACAAGCGCAGGTACTGACAAACGAAAAAACAGAATTGGGGTGAACAAGGATTTGAGCCCACAATCATAGGTTTCTGGCATACCCAAGAGTCGCCAGCAGGGGTTGTCTGTATGAGGAGACCCCAGCAGGAGATGTTTGCATAAGGAGACCCCAGCAGTAGATGTTTGTATCAGGAGACCCCAGCAGTAGATGTTTGTATGAGGAGACCCTAGCAGGAGATGTTTGTATAAGGAGACCCCAGCAGGAGATGTTTGTATAAGGAGACCCCAGCAGGAGATGTTTGTATCAGGAGACCCCAGCAGTAGATGTGTGTATGAGGAGACCCCAGAAGTAGATGTTTGTATAAGGAGACCCCAGCAGTAGATGTTTGTATGAGGAGACCCCAGCAGGAGATGTGTGTATGAGGAGACCCAAGCAGGAGATGTTTGTATAAGGAGACCCCAGCAGGAGATGTTTGTATCAGGAGACCCCAGCAGTAAATGTTTGTATCAGGAGACCCCAGCAGTAGATGTTTGTATCAGGAGACCCCAGCAGGAGATGTGTGTATGAGGAGACCCCAGCAGGAGATGTTTGTATGAGGAGACCCCAACAGGAGATGTTTGTATGAGGAGACCCTACCAGGAGATGTGTGTATGAGGAGACTCAAGCAGGAGATGTTTGTATCAGGAGACCCCAGCAGTAGATGTTTGTATCAGGAGACCCCAGCAGGAGATGTTTGTATGAGGAGACCCCAACAGGAGATGTTTGTATAAGAAGACCCCAGCAGGAGATGTTTGTATAAGGAGACCCCAACAGGAGATGTTTGTATGAGGAGACCCCAGCAGTAAATGTTTGTATGAGGAGACCCCAGCAGTAGATGTTTGTATGAGGAGACCCCAGCAGGAGATGTTTGTATCAGGAGACCCCAGCAGGAGATGTGTGTATGAGGAGACCCCAGCAGGAGATGTTTGTATCAGGAGACCCCAGCAGGAGATGTGTGTATGAGGAGACTCAAGCAGGAGATGTTTCTATAAGGAGACCCAAGCAGGAGATGTTTGTATAAGGAGACCCCAGCAGGAGATGTTTGTATCAGGAGACCCCAGCAATGTTGGTATCAGGAGACCCCAGCAGTAGATGTTTGTATGAGGGGACCCCAGCAGGAGATGTTTGTATGAGGAGACCCCAGCAGGAGATGTATGTATGAGGAGACACAAGCAGGAGATGTTTGTATTAGGAGACCCCAGCAGGAGATGTTTGTATGAAGAGACCCCAACAGGAGATGTTTGTATGAGGAGACCCCAGCAGGAGATGTTTGTATGAGAAGACCCCAGCAGGAGATGTTTGTATCAGGAGACAACAGCAGGAGATGTTTGTATGAGGAGACACCAGCAGTAGATGTTTGTATCAGGAGACCCCAGCAGGAGATGTTTGTATCAGGAGACCCCAGCAGGAGATGTTTGTATCAGGAGACACCAGCAGGAGATGTTTGAATGAGGAGACCCCAGCAGAAGATGTTTGAATGAGGAGACCCCAGCAGGAGATGTTAGTATAAGTAGACCCCAGCAGAAGATGTTTGAATGAGGATACCCCAGCAGAAGATGTTTGAATAAGGAGACCCCAGCAGGAGATGTTTGTATCAGGAGACCCCAGCAGAAGATGTTTGAATGAGGAGACACCTCCTGCTGGGATGGTGTCACCTCCTGCTGGGATGTTTGTACGGTTGTCACCTCCACTGTCGCCTCCTCCAGTTCCTGTAGGCGAGTGTCGATGGCATCATGTCGCCGGCTGTAGAAGGAGCAGCTGTGGAAGTCCAGGGGCTGAGTCTGGTATGGGCTGTGGAAGGCGTCAGGGATGTCCATGAAGAGAGCATCCCAGAAGTAGAGGTTGAACAGGTTGCTGATGATTGAGCCCTCAGCATGGAGACCTGGGGTCAAGTTGTTGAATTAATATGGAGGAATCTGTTGTTCCACTACCAGCTAGACAGCTAATTAAGCCAGGATCAGAGTGGAGAGCCAGAACCGGTATAACAAAGTTTTAATCAAAATGCTCACAAATAACATACAGTAGTCAGACATCATGTGTTTCAGGGGGATGGTAACTTTAGGACTCAGAGACTTAAGAAGGATTTTATGAACACTTCTAGGTGAATCACAAACAGATGTGCCACATGGAATATTGATGACTGTGTCATGAAATAAAACTCACTCTTAAGAAAGATGTGGCACAGAGGTAGCTTTCAAGGGAGAATTGGCTCGGGAAAATTAGGAAAATTGATTCAGGTCAATTGGAAGTCCTATGGGCAAATAACATTCAACTCATATACGTAATGGTACAGAATCCCCTATGTGTCCTTCATCAATGTATTCCATCATAAGACATCAGTGTTTGTCACCTTCAGGGTACCCGTGATTCTTGTAGTGACTGAGGACAAGTTCCTCCACCGCGCACACCGTCACATCCTCCGAGTTGCCGTCGATGTAGGAGTCCTCCGTCATGAAGCTGTACTTGAGACCAGGAATAGAGTGAGGCAGCACGCGGCCTTCTAGAATTTGCTACAAATGAATAAAATCATTCACACAAACACATTTATTTGCAATCCCAGCCAACTGATATCTTAACTTTCTTCCATGACATGTGGTATTTACTCTTAAACATTACTATGTACCTGATGCATGTGCTCATGATTATTGTTTATCAACCACAAGACAAAAATATAAATATAAAGTCTATGTTATAAAACATTTGGAAATTTGATTGGGTTGGGTCTGGTGCTGACAAAGCTAGAAACCAAATCTTGGTGAACCAGAATCCAAACCCACAATTATAGTTTTCTGGTGTGCCTAAGGGGCGCAACTCTGCACAGCAAGATTGCATCTCCTAAAACAAATGTGCCACATTGGCCACCCGTGCCCCCATTTGGGAATTAATGGTATCTACCAATTTTCACCTTTGGTGCCTCTATGACTTCATCATGTGAGAACTCCTTCATCCGGTGCTTGTATTTGGAATTTGGCCCAGTACATAGTTTCTCAGCCCTCTGGTACAAGGCCAGGCGATGTCCGACCTTGACAGCAGGGTCAGCCAGGCCCTTACAGATAGCCTTCAGGGCCTGAAACGTTCACAAACATCACATGAGCTAAGCATCAACTGTCCTCTTTACACAGGGGTAGCGTAGCATTTTGTTCATCCATCAACTCACCTACTGGCGTTTCTAAAGGTGGACCTAAAGACTGACTGAGAGTCTTTCCCACCACTAATCTCTTTACTCTCTACCTGCCAACATGGCACCAGCTACCTGTGAAGATCCGGGTTAGAATTGATCCCATTCTTGTCGTAAGAGGCCACTAACAAGATCGGCTAATCAGACTCGGTGACTTGGTTGATGCATGTCATCGTATCCCAATTGCATAGATTGATATTGGTTTCAATCACTGAATTGTCTGGTCCAGGCTGGATGATTAACAGACCGCTGTCACGTAGCTGGAATATTGCTGAGTGCGGCGTTAAACAACCAACCAACCAAATTGCGTAGATTGATACTGGTGTCAATCACTGAATTGTCTGGTCTAGGCTGAAATATTAACAGACCGCTGTCACGTAGCTGGAATATTGCTGAGTGTGGCGTTAAACAATCAACCAACCAACCAACCCAATTGCGTAGATTGATACTGGTGTCAATCACTGAATTGTCTGGTCTAGGCTGGATGATTAACAGACCGCTGTCAAGTAGCTGGAGTGCTGAGTGCTGAGTGCAGCGTTAAGAAACAAACAAACATGGTACCAGTGCAGAGTCTGAGTTAGGATAGATTTCCAACAACCTATGCTTGTCATTAGAGGGGACAAAATGGATCACGCCTTTAGTCTCAGGGTCTTGTTTAAATGTGCTGTCATTATATCCCAAGGCACTGACCGATGTTCATGTTATCAATCACTGGATTGTCTGGTACAAACTCGATTATTTACAGGCTGCAGTTATATTGCTTGGATGTTGCGGAGTGTGGCATAACAAAACAAACAATCAACTCATGGGCCAGTCCCCTCCAACCATCAATCTCTCCATCAACACACCTCCTGGGCTTTCTTGAGATGGACCTCCAGGTTGAGGGCAAGTCTCTCCCACCAGTACCCCCGGTAGTCAGCACAGTACACATCTTGCCCCAGGAGCTCCTCCAGGAGTGCCACTGCTGCAGGGTAGTCCTTCCTGCGCTGCACAATCTCGATACCCTGGTTAAGGACTTTAGTCAGGACAGAACCGGCAGTGCACGACCGCAGGTAGGAGGGCAGGGAGTTGTCGAAACTGGAGCAGGATCACCATCGTCATTAAATATGAAACATGCAACTTCATCAGGCTTGGAAGCAGGTCTACCAGATGATTTGTGAAATAAGTATACCCCAACATACCTTAAAACAACATTCTAAGAAAATGTCCTCCTTGATAAGATGTGTATCATTCATGAGATGCCATATGCCCTACCTGACAAGTGATGTGTCCTTCATGAGATGCTATATGACCTACCTGACAAGTGATGTGTCCTTCATGAGATGCTATATGACCTACCTAGCAAGCTGTGTGTCCTTCATGAGATGCTATATGCCCTACCTGACAAGTGATGTGTCCTTCATGAGATGCTATATGACCTACCTGACAAGTGATGTGTCCTTCATGAGATGCTATATGCCCTACCTGACAAGTGATGTGTCCTTCATGAGATGCTATATGACCTACCTGACAAGTGATGTGTCCTTCATGAGATGCTATATGCCCTACCTGACAAGTGATGTGTCCTTCATGAGATGCTATATGCCCTACCTGACAAGTGATGTGTCCTTCATGAGATGCTATATGACCTACCTGACAAGTGATGTGTCCTTCATGAGATGCTATATGCCCTACCTGACAAGTGATGTGTCCTTCATGAGATGCTATATGCCCTACCTGACAAGTGATGTGTCCTTCATGAGATGCTATATGACCTACCTGACAAGTGATGTGTCCTTCATGAGATGCTATATGACCTACCTGACAAGCTGTGTGTCCTTCATGAGATGCTATATGACCTACTTGACAAGCTGTGTGTCCTTCATGAGATGCTATATGACCTACCTGACAAGCTGTGCGTCCTTCATGAGATGCTATATGACCTACCTGACAAGCTGTGTGTCCTTCATGAGATGCTATATGACCTACTTGACAAGCTGTGTGTCCTTCATGAGATGCTATATGACCTACCTGACAAGCTGTGTGTCCTTCATGACATGCTATATGACCTACCTGACAAGCTGTGTGTCCTTCATAAGATGCAATATGACCTACTTGACAAGCTGTGCGTCCTTCATGAGAAGCTATATGACCTACTTGACAAGCTGTGTGTCCTTCATGAGATGCTATATGACCTACCTGACAAGCTGTTGGTCCTTCATGAGATGCTATATGACCTTCCCGACAAGCTGTGTGTCCTTCATGAGATGCTATATGACCTACTTGACAAGCTGTGTGTCCTTCATGAGATGCAATATGACCTACTTGACAAGCTGTGCGTCCTTCATGAGATGCTATATGACCTACCTGACAAGCTGTGTGTCCTTCATGAGATGCTATATGACCTACCTGACAAGCTGTGTGTCCTTCATAAGATGCAATATGACCTACTTGACAAGCTGTGCGTCCTTCATGAGAAGCTATATGACCTACTTGACAAGCTGTGTGTCCTTCATGAGATGCTATATGACCTACCTGACAAGCTGTTGGTCCTTCATGAGATGCTATATGACCTTCCCGACAAGCTGTGTGTCCTTCATGAGATGCTATATGACCTACTTGACAAGCTGTGTGTCCTTCATGAGATGCAATATGACCTACTTGACAAGCTGTGCGTCCTTCATGAGATGCTATATGACCTACCTAGCAAGCTGTGTGTCCTTCATGAGATGCTATATGACCTACCTGACAAGTGATGTGTCCTTCATGAGATGCCATATGCCCTACCTGACAAGTGATGTGTCCTTCATGAGATGCTATATGACCTACCTGACAAGTGATGTGTCCTTCATGAGATGCCATATGCCCTACCTGACAAGTGATGTGTCCTTCATGAGATGCTATATGCCCTACCTGACAAGTGATGTGTCCTTCATGAGATGCTATATGACCTACCTGACAAGTGATGTATCCTTCATGAGATGCTATATGCCCTACCTGACAAGTGATGTGTCCTTCATGAGATGCTATATGCCCTACCTGACAAGTGATGTGTCCTTCATGAGATGCTATATGACCTACCTGACAAGTGATGTGTCCTTCATGAGATGCTATATGCCCTACCTGACAAGTGATGTGTCCTTCATGAGATGCTATATGCCCTACCTGACAAGTGATGTGTCCTTCATGAGATGCTATATGACCTACCTGACAAGTGATGTGTCCTTCATGAGATGCTATATGCCCTACCTGACAAGTGATGTGTCCTTCATGAGATGCTATATGCCCTACCTGACAAGTGATGTGTCCTTCATGAGATGCTATATGACCTACCTGACAAGCTGTGTGTCCTTCATGAGATGCTATATGACCTACTTGACAAGCTGTGTGTCCTTCATGAGATGCTATATGACCTACCTGACAAGCTGTGTGTCCTTCATGAGATGCTATATGACCTACCTGACAAGCTGTGTGTCCTTCATAAGATGCAATATGACCTACTTGACAAGCTGTGCGTCCTTCATGAGAAGCTATATGACCTACTTGACAAGCTGTGTGTCCTTCATGAGATGCTATATGACCTACCTGACAAGCTGTTGGTCCTTCATGAGATGCTATATGACCTTCCCGACAAGCTGTGTGTCCTTCATGAGATGCTATATGACCTACTTGACAAGCTGTGTGTCCTTCATGAGATGCAATATGACCTACTTGACAAGCTGTGCGTCCTTCATGAGATGCTATATGACCTACTTGACAAGCTGTGTGTCCTTCATGAGATGCTATATGACCTACCTGACAAGCTGTGTGTCCTTCATGAGATGCTATATGACCTACTTGACAAGCTGTGTGTCCTTCATAAGATGCTATATGACCTACTTGACAAGCTGTGCGTCCTTCATGAGAAGCTATATGACCTACTTGACAAGCTGTGTGTCCTTCATGAGATGCTATATGACCTACCTGACAAGCTGTGTGTCCTTCATGAGATGCTATATGACCTACCTGACAAGCTGTGTGTCCTTCATGAGTGCCTGGAAATCCTCCTTGGCCTCCAGATAGAAGCTGTATGCCCCAGCCCAGTTGTTCTTCTCCACACAGCCAGACAGGTCATTGTCACACTGCATCGCACGCTCAAACCTGGAAGAAAAATTAGAATCCAGACAGTACCATTCCCAGTGAAATCCCATTTATCCACAGTCCCATTCTCAGTGAAATCCCATTGATCCACACAGTACCATCCCCAGTGAAATCCCATTTATCCGCACAGTACCATCTCCAGTGCATCCCCAGTGAAATCCCATTGAACCACACAGTACCATCCCCAGTGAAATCCCATTAATCCACACAGCAGCATCCTCAGAGAAATCCCATTAATCCACACAGTACCATTCCCAGTGAAATCCCATTAATCCACACAGTACCATTCCCAGTGAAATCCCATTAATCCACACAGTACCATTCCCAGTGAAATCCATTAATCCACACAGCAGCATCCTCAGAGAAATCCCATTAATCCACACAGTACCATTCCCAGTGAAATCCCATTGATCCACACAGTACCATTCCAAGTGAAATCCATTAATCCACACAGTACCATTCCAAATGAAATCCCATTAATCCACAGAGCATCATCCTCAGTGAAATCCCATTTATCCACACAGTACCATTCTCAGTGAAATCCCATTAATCCACACAGTACCATCCCCAGTGAAATCCCATTTATCCACACAGTACCATCTCCAGTGAAATCCCATTTATCCACACAGTACCATCCCCAGTGAAATCCCATTAATCCACACAGCAGCATCCTCAGAGAAATCCCATTAATCCACACAGTACCATCCCCAGTGAAATCCCATTAATCCACACAGCAGCATCCTCAGAGAAATCTCATTAATCCACACAGTACCATTCCCAGTGAAATCTCATTAATCCACACAGTACCATTCCCAGTGAAATCCCATTAATCCACACAGTACCATTCCCAGTGAAATCCCATTAATCCACACAGTACCATTCCCAGTGAAATCCCATTAATCCACACAGTATCATTCCAAGTGAAATCCATTAATCCACACAGTACCATTCTCAGTGAAATCCCATCAATCCACAGAGCATCATCCTCAGAGAAATCCCATGTATCCACACAGTACCATTTCCAGTGAAATCCCATTAATCCACACAGTACCATTTCCAGTGAAATTCATTTATCACACAGTACAATACCAAGAGAAATCCCATTAATCCCTCAGTACTATTCTCAGTGAAATCCCATTTATCCACACAGTACCATCCCCAGTGAAATCCTATTGATCCACACAGTACCATGCCCAGTGAAATCCCATTGATCCACACAGTACCATTCCAAGTGAAATCCATTAATCCACACAGCAGCATCCTCAGAGAAATCCCATTAATCCACACAGTCCCATTTCCAGTGAAATCCCATTAATCCACACAGTACCATTCCCAGTGAAATCCCATTAATCCACACAGTACCATTCCCAGTGAAATCCCATTAATCCACACAGTACCATTCCCAGTGAAATCCCATTAATCCACACAGTACCATTCCCAGTGAAATCCCATTAATCCACACAGCAGCATCCTCAGAGAAATCCCATTAATCCACACAGTCCCATTTCCAGTGAAATCCCATTAATCCACACAGTACCATTCCCAGTGAAATCCCATTAATCCACACAGTACCATTCCCAGTGAAATCCATTAATCCACACAGCAGCATCCTCAGAGAAATCCCATTAATCCACACAGTACCATTCCCAGTGAAATCCCATTGATCCACACAGTACCATTCCAAGTGAAATCCATTAATCCACACAGTACCATTCCAAATGAAATCCCATTAATCCACAGAGCATCATCCTCAGAGAAATCCCATTTATCCACACAGTACCATTCTCAGTGAAATCCCATTAATCCACACAGTACCATCCCCAGTGAAATCCCATTTATCCACACAGTACCATCTCCAGTGAAATCCCATTTATCCACACAGTACCATCCCCAGTGAAATCCCATTAATCCACACAGCAGCATCCTCAGAGAAATCCCATTAATCCACACAGTACCATCCCCAGTGAAATCCCATTAATCCACACAGCAGCATCCTCAGAGAAATCTCATTAATCCACACAGTACCATTCCCAGTGAAATCTCATTAATCCACACAGTACCATTCCCAGTGAAATCCCATTAATCCACACAGTACCATTCCCAGTGAAATCCCATTAATCCACACAGTACCATTCCCAGTGAAATCCCATTAATCCACACAGTATCATTCCAAGTGAAATCCATTAATCCACACAGTACCATTCTCAGTGAAATCCCATCAATCCACAGAGCATCATCCTCAGAGAAATCCCATGTATCCACACAGTACCATTTCCAGTGAAATCCCATTAATCCACACAGTACCATTTCCAGTGAAATTCATTTATCACACAGTACAATACCAAGAGAAATCCCATTAATCCCTCAGTACTATTCTCAGTGAAATCCCATTTATCCACACAGTACCATCCCCAGTGAAATCCTATTGATCCACACAGTACCATGCCCAGTGAAATCCCATTGATCCACACAGTACCATTCCAAGTGAAATCCATTAATCCACACAGCAGCATCCTCAGAGAAATCCCATTAATCCACACAGTCCCATTTCCAGTGAAATCCCATTAATCCACACAGTACCATTCCCAGTGAAATCCCATTAATCCACACAGTACCATTCCCAGTGAAATCCCATTAATCCACACAGTACCATTCCCAGTGAAATCCCATTAATCCACACAGTACCATTCCCAGTGAAATCCCATTAATCCACACAGCAGCATCCTCAGAGAAATCCCATTAATCCACACAGTCCCATTTCCAGTGAAATCCCATTAATCCACACAGTACCATTCCCAGTGAAATCCCATTAATCCACACAGTACCATTCCCAGTGAAATCCCATTAATCCACACAGTACCATTCCCAGTGAAATCCCATTAATCCACACAGTACCATTCCCAGTGAAATCCCATTAATCCACACAGCATCATCCTCAGAATAATCCCATTAATCCACACAGCACCATTCCCAGTGCTAGGGTATACATGAATACATTCCAGCTGTGTGCTAGGGTATACATGAATACATTCGAGCTGTGTGCTAGGATATACATGAATACATTCCAGCGCTGTGTGCTAGGGTATACATGAATACATTCCAGCTGTGTGCTAGGGTATACATGAATACATTCCAGCTGTGTGCTAGGGTATACATGAATACATTCGAGCTGTGTGCTAGGATATACATGAATACATTCCAGCGCTGTGTGCTAGGGTATACATGAATACATTCCAGCTGTGTGCTAAGGTATACATGAATACATTCCAGCTGTGTGCTTGGATATACATGAATACATTCCAGCTGTGTGCTAGGATATACATGAATACATCCCAGCTGTGTGCTAGGATAAACATGAATACATTCCATCTGTGTGCTAGGATATACATGAATACATTCCAGCTGTATGCTAGGATATACATGAATACATTCCAGCTGTGTGCTAGGGTATACATGAATACATTCCAGCTGTGTGCTAGGATATACATGAATACATTCCAGCTGTGTGCTAGGGTATACATGAATACATTCCAGCTGTGTGCTATGTCATACATGAATACATTCCAGCTGTGTGCTGCAACACACAGACCTGTCCCAGCCACACACTACTGTATATTTGCCCCTGTATCTGTGCCTCACCTCAGCAGCCCCTCCCTGTCCCTGATGAGAGCCGTCTGCTTGTTGACAGTGAACTGGGGATACACTACCTTCCCCATGTTGACCAGCAGCATCTGGTAACTGAAACATCAACAGTGCAGTGATAACTGTTGTAACTACACAGTGAAGCATGAGAAGGGAACTTAAACTGAGTCATCATGTCTTCAGGTGCCTGGATGTTGCCTCATCATCTTAATGACCCATCACCCATTCTGCAACAATTTGAGAATGTACCTTCATATCATTATCATTTTTGCAGTAAATGGCCCAGGAATGCCCTGTCCCTGCTTACAGTAATGCCACCAACAGCCCCTAAGGGGTCCTGGGTTAGTATAGATCCCCATCAGCCCATGCTGGTTGTATGAGGTGACTGAAAGCCTCTCATGGTCAGGCTCTGACAGCAAGTCATCAAACCCTGACAGGGTGGGTTGTTACTCTCACAATCCTTGGTACAGAACTGATCCGTCACCATGGTCATATAGCTGGAACGTTGCAAATTGTGACATTAAACCAATTACTCACAGCTGTGTCTTTCCTCCGCTGCCCTGGTCCTCCTCCAGCCATGAGTGGATGACTGAGAACAACATCAGCAACCTCACAAACACCCGCCTTGGACCGTCCAGCAGGCGGAATGACCGACCTAGCAGCTTTTTGGCTCTGTTCAGTGTGAAAATTAATAATTCATCATGCACTGAGATGTGTATGATTAGATAACAATAACTCTTTGCTTCATCTGGTATTTTGTGAACAATCTACATTGATATAAGTGATAATAGACAGCTTATCCATTGCAATATTTACAAATGATATTTTCATACTATTGCCTTAGTTCTACTCCTATTGCCACTGTATTGTGACTATAGCAGGATGTGAACCTTTCCCTTCCAACAATATAGATTCTCTGGTTGTATTTTACATTATGCCATGTCCTCGCATGTATACCATGTCCTAGGTTCTGTAGGTCGCAGGAAATGTTTTGGAGGGACAGACTTTTTATTGTCCATCTACACCATTTATTGTCTGATATTATGTTGATTACATGTTCTGGGTAGATAAATTCATCAGCATTTATTTCACTGTATTTATGTCCATGGAATCTATTGGTGTCAACAACTGATATTTTGCAATGCATCGATTGTTCAATTAATTGTTACACAATCATAATAATGTGCAATGGAGAATATTTGACTGGATTTACTCTTATGGTGTCTCTACAATGAGATATGGACCTCATTCAACAGTGTAATCTGTGCGATATGTCAAACACAATTCCTATACTTCAAAATAGACATGTAACTGTCAAAACCCTTTGTTTTTGCTTGGTAGAACACGGATCAACCAAGCATGAGTGATTCTTTGTTTGAATTAAAAGACTAGTTGAACATTTTCAACATATCTATACATGATATAGTCAGTGTACTGCACCTGGCCAACATGGCTGCCCCTGACCCCTTCCCTCCTCCCCCGAACATGGAGGTCACTGTGCTCTGCTTGCTCTTCTTCAACAGGGCATCACATGTCTGTGGTTTGGTCAGGCCTGACCCATTGATATGGAATGATTTGGCCAATGTCTTGAGATCTCCAGCAGACATGACCTTCAGAGTCTGCTCAAGGTCAACAAGGTCAGATTCTGAAGAATAGACAAAAAGAGAGTTACTTACAACAATCACAAGACAGCCAGTCCAGAAACACTGAGGCAACTTCACATGGCCATCCTTTGTAATATTTTTCCACTTGTTTCATTAAATCTAAGGTCCAGTATACATCCACTGAAAAAAAACCAACTGTGATATGCACATAGTCCACATCTCAATAGGACACCCAAGGGGATACCAGGCTAGAATACGTCCTCTACAACCCATGTGTGTTGAAAGAGGCTACATAATGGAAAAGATGGTCAGACAGAGTGACTTGACTGTGTGGGATGATTCTTATAATATCAATCACTGGTTTGTTTGGCCCATACAGTAAATGATGACTTACAGGTATACATGATCCAGCTGGAACATTGTTGACATTAAACAATAAATAACAAAACTTGTTTTTGATGTACTTAACTTGACATTTGGAAAAAACAACTTAATCCAGATGTTGGACTGAAGGACTAGTGGTCATGTCTGACCCAGCAAGGCCTCCTTTCCAACTAGCAAATATATGTAACTGATCACATATCCTCTCAATACATTCAAGGTTAAAAGAAACTATGTCATTAATCAAGCATTGTCTCTAAGCATTATGTGACTGTTCATGAATCCTTAAGAATTGGGAGTATGTGTAAGCATGGATTATATCCTACCTAAATATTATCCTGGGGGACATTTTACTCTAGAGTATAGTATCCTACCTTAGCGCCACACTGGTATGGGTTCAAATTCAATGGGGAGAATCATCCAGACACTAGAGAATTTCATCCCCGGGATGAAAAATAGAGTAGGATAATATTCACTCTTACATATGCTCTGGCTGATCACAGCACTCTACTCACCAGTCATGGCCATCCCAGCATCCACCAGCTCCTGCAGGACATCAGTCAGATCATTGCCGATCTCTGGGTACGAGATCTTACCCACTGGCAACCACGACAGTTTTCGCGAGAACAGTCGAACATACAGCTTCTGCCCTGATTCTGATATAACAACAGAAAATATGGAAGTCTTAGATATCAACAAAAGTTGAAGTGACTTTTCATTCGATTGGGTCTAATTGCTTAATTATCTAACACTGTTAGGATTGAATTTTAAACTTTCAGACTCTCATGGCCTCACCAAGATGCGGACTGATCATACTGATTATTCACTGTGAAGAGCACTCAGACAAGTAGAATCTGGGATAATCAGGGTAAATGTCTTCACTCTTTCAACATGTTCACTACAAAAGACCCAAGGTTGACTATGGTTGACATGAAGCTATACTTCATCAATAGCATCCTTACTGCAATGACCAAATATTTCATACATACCAGTCAGGGTGATCTCTCGTCTGATATGATTGGAAGCCTTAATCTAGATTAGACATTCCTGACAGAGATATTCCTAAAAGTGGGATTTCTGAACTAACAGGTTGTGGATTAATTGGATCCCACCATACACTGAAGTAGATCTGAGGTCATTCATCTTGAAGCCTTATCAAACTGACCTGATAATGTATGGAATATTTTGATGCATTTGTTGTCAGCCTCATCCAACAGCCTGCAGTTGTCTTCATCAGCCAGCACCGCAGTGAGGACGGTGCGGAAGTTGTCCAGGTAGTACGGCACCCGATACTTCACCTCCCCCTTGTCGTCCGTGTCCCCCTTGTCCCCCGTGTCAGCTGGAGGACCTCCTTCTGCCCCCTCCCCGGCTCCTGTCTTGTCTTCAGAACATGTGCGGGAAATGGAGGAACGGATTTCAATATGTGCTTATTACAACATCATGATGAACTACAGTGTAAAGAAATTTTCATATCATAAACTTAAATAACCAATCAAAAAACACAGATTTACTGTTTAGTTAGAGAGTAAAAATGGGTGCACCTTTGGTTTTTTCAGCATTCTGCAAAATTAACCTTACAGCTTTATTCCAATAATCCTGTCAGAAATCAAATGAGGGCCATGCAAAACAATGGTTACTATGGCAACTTTCCAGCCCCCCCTTATTTTTTGTCAGTTTCAACTTTCAATAAATTAAAAAAAATATGAAAATTACCTGGTTTGAATTCTTCCAAATCGTGTTCAATGTAATGATGTCATCTCTGAAGTAACGTAGTTAGATCTACCCGTCATTTACACAAAGTTCAGTCACAATTTTCTCTTCTTTGTCTGAATATTTTTAGACTAAATCGCTACAAATATATATTTAACCTCGAAGTAATGCAAAAAATAGACAAGAGGAAACCCTGATGGTAACAGTCAGGCTGACTGTATTAAAAAAATATACTTATATGAATATCGCCGATGTTTAGTTCAACAACAAAGATTTAAAAGGTACTTTATTTGCCGGTCCACGGGGCCTGGCAGTCACATGAATTACCGGTCCATGCCTAATTTTACCAGTAAACGGGAACACTGACGCTCTCCTGCAATACTCATGAAGGTGAACTATGTAGTATTGAGGTCCTATTTTCTCCTATGCAGGCCAGTCATTGCATACTGGAAACTGATAGTTACTCTGAACAGAGAAGTTCTCAACAAATCTCACCATGTTCTTCTTGCTCGGGGAGACCAGCTGCATCATCCGTTGCCTCCAGCTCCCTGCGTGGTGGTTGTTCTGCCCCCAGCTGCTGACCTTCAGGTATTGTTCCATCACTGGTTAAACTTGCTGTCTCTGCACTGTGCAAGTTGGCCACATTTGAGCTTCTATCACACAATTTTTCATCCCCTGTTTTCTCCTCTTCCTTCTTTTTACTTTGGAACAGTTTGTTCCACAATGTTTTTGAACTTTCCCTTGAATCACTTGAAACAAATTTTGCCTTCACCTCAGACATGTCAGAAGTTCTATGTTGTCTAGAAACAGATTCTTTCATCTTTAGTTTCTGCTGTGACTGAACATTTGTTGAATTGGATTTTTTTAAAGATTTTGGTAGGCTTAATTTTGAACTCAATTTTATTTTCTTGGCAAGATCATCAAAGTCATCTCCACTGCCATCATCAGTGATGGAGGCCGAACTACCAGTGGACTCATATCTTAAGTCTATTATAGGGTTTGTTGAGAGGTTATGTTTTAATGACAGTGATCGTCTGTTTGGCTTTTTCTCCTCTTTAGGAAGACAGTTTCCCTCACTCTGGGATGACCTTTTCATCAATGACAGTTTTTTTGATGGACTTAACTTCAAATCAGATCCACGTACACTACATGAGAGAGCATCATGGTATTTTAGACTGTCTGATTCTTTCGAGGTTATTTGTTCTGGAACAATTTCACCATCCTCATCCGGCCTTTTTAAACAAAAAGGCTCAGCTGGAGGACATTTCTTTTCATTTTCTTTTTGAGACGAACCCAAGGTATCCTTTTGATATTTGTCTGACAGATTTCTGTTACTGGCAGAGCGTAATCGTAGACTTGGTCTTCTAGACTTTGATGTTGATGGCAGCTGAGGAGCTCTCTCAACACCGGATGTATCAGCTTTAAGAGGATCATCTCCATCATTATTAACGCTGCTTTTGAAATATTTGGATTTGGATTGTATTTTCGTCAAATTAAAATCATCCTCATCCTCACGGTCACTCAATATCACAATTTCCTTTTCATTGCTTGATTTTCTCTTATCCCCTGACTTTGATACAGTTTTGGCATTCTTGAACATAGAAATAACGGTTTGATTTTGTTCTTTCTTTGACTTCCCTATCTTTTTCGGAGATTTTAAATCCTTTGACAACTTGACTTTTCGTTTTGAACTCATTCTCCTTAAAGAAAAAACAAGCTTGTTAGTATGTATAGTATTTACATGGTATTATCAGACTTAAAATATAGCATCATCTACACATGAAAATAATAAAAATAAAAAAATTTTAAAAAATGTGCACAGAAAGTTACCTGTTGTACATTTGTGCTTAAGTCAAGGTGTTCCCCTATACTCACAGTCCCAAAGAATCACACCGAAATAAAGATAGCTTACCTGACTAAGATAGATCCGTTTCTTTATTAAATATTGTTTTTCTGAATATTTGCTATTCAGATTGCAAATAAATCATTTATTTCCCCATTATTTTAAAACAGCGATGTCGGCCGCCATTGTTTCAGAGGGAGATACGAGGGTCCTGATGGGAGTGTCACAAGTCAGTAGTAAGTACAACTTTGGGTCTTTAGTCAGTAGTCATTAATCATTCGGCTTAGCCAGTAAAAATGGCACGAACCAGTTTTCCGTATCACATTATGTCAGAAAGTTTGAAAGATGTCTTAAAAGGTAATATATTTTGTTCATAACTTTGAAATGTGAACAACACCAGGAGAAAGTGTAGACAGTTACATGAACTGAGACCCAGTAACACGTTGCTTTTACTGCAGTAGAATCTATCAGCATGAGTGAAAGCAGGAGAACTTTTGAGAATCATTCACCTGAATAGAAATCAAATACTTGTGTATGTGTTGAATGCAGATCGTGGGTCTGTAGGGAAACAAGGTCTGTAGGGAAACTGACAGTTCTGCTTTCGTTTCATTACTGTAATTCTCATTTTGCACAGACTGGTTCTGTTCTGTTGTCAGACTTATAGTTTATATGCAGGACATCTACAAGATTTAGAACAATTGCGATAAACAGTAAACATGGTAAAGTTTTAATTTACGCTCAACAATTTTTTATGGACATTTTAAGGTAATCTTTTATGATAAAGATTTGACTCATTTTACGTTTACGATAGATTTTTTAAATCGTTTTACACCAAACAGTACACATGGTACAAACCCCATCAGGACTGTCAGACAACCCTTTTCTCGCAGCAAACGAAATATGTTATCTACTGCAGCACAAACCAGTATGTTTAAAAATAACAGGAACACTGCCCGATATATTTAATCTTTAACCAAAAGAAACAAAAATCTAAGAATCTAATTTTGATATAGTTGAATTCTAAATATATTTTACAAGATAAGTGTTTTCAGTGAACGTAGTTTATGCTTCTTCAATAAATTTTCGAATCGACTTAACGTGTCACAGAACATTCTCACAAATTAAACATGTTAAACACAGGGGAAATTTTAACTTATCAAATATTTTTGTATGTTTCAAAGTTTAAAAAGTACCTCATACTTTATGGCATATGTCAGTATGCAGACATCAATATTATGATGCTGTAATCATAGCCCTTATTTCTATCTGTAGATAGTAACATGACCTCGAGATTCGGACACTGATCTTATGATTCTGTGATACAGATTAATTGCACCATCTTCCTGAAGCAAGGGAGTTACCTGACAGGAAAAATTCAGTTTCCACCCTTGCTGGATCGAGGCTGGAATTTCTGGGCTCAATCCTAGTGCCACCAGTGGCTATTATGAGTTATGTCCCTTCTATGTCCCTCCTATTGACCAATCAGATTCCACCTTTCATGTCACTTGCATTTGCTTCAAACAAAATGGCGTTGCCCAGTCAAGACAATTTGATAGATAATCAAAATCTATGTTGTGATAAAACGGGTCTTACTTCGCAAAGTGCATCAAATCACACGAGCATCTTGATTAAAAACAGGAAAATATCTGTTGACACAGAATTGGCGGTACACATGCTTTGCAAATCCTGCAATCAACCGAAATCTGTAGGGCAGTATACAAACTGGATGTCGATTTTGTTGCGAAATTTTGACTGGACTATGCATAGACTTGTTATTCCACCAATATATAACTCCATAATTCCAAACCTATACTTGAATTCCTTGTTATGAAATCATGGTAAACAAGAGCTTTGGGATGTTCCTTTCTGTTTATAACTAAATAGGTGTTGCTGTGAGAATAGGGAACCCGCAATAACAGAAAAAGCAAGAATAGAAATTATTAGAAAGGTGCTTCGGGTACATATTCTTAAGTAACTGTCTCTAAACAACCACCTGAACAAAATCAATAAACATATGATTGGCCTTGAATGAAAACCAACTCTTACACAAAAAGCACTTTTTCACAGTACCCTTCTTGTACAGATCTAGCCAAGAGCTGCGATGGGGACCCAACGGTCATGTCCTGACTCCCAATGGTCATGTCTTGACTATAGGACCCCATTGCGGCTCTCGGCTTGTACAAGACATATACAATATACTTAAAACATGAATCAAATAATTTAGATAATTACGGTAGATCTAGTCAGCAACTCAAGTAAGAGTCTAAGACATTGGTATAACTTTTAAATAATTGTTGGGCAACAATGCAGTTTACCGGGTGCAGCCTGAGCTCTACCATCCAGTCAATTACTGCGCTATAGTGCCACCGCTGTCTTGCTATACCTTTATACCAATGACTCACTTCACAATCCCGTTTTCAACACCCGTTTTCGGTCTTAGGAAAACTTACACGTCTTTACAATCCAACACCCGTTTTCGGTCTTAGGGAATCTTACACGTCTTTACAATCCAACACCCGTTTTCGGTCTTAGGGAATCTTACATGTCTTTACGATCCAACACCCGTTTTCGGTCATAGGGAAACTTACATGTCTTTACAATCCAACACCCCTTTTCAGTTTTAGGGAAACTTACACATCTTTACGATCCAACACCCCTTTTAGGTCTTAGGGAAACTTACACGTCTTTACGATCCAACACCACTTTTCGGTCCTTAGGGTTAGCTTGCTTTGGGCAAGGGTTAGCCCTAAAATCTGGTTAATCTGATTGGTCCGTCATGTTGACATAAACAATGGCGGGTGTGGTTTCAAGAAAAGACGAAATGTTGAGCTGACTGTGACGTCACACGCATGCGCAATTCATTGTTTACTGAATTATGCATGCTTGTTAATGGGGTGTTAATGACCTGTTAAACAAGCACTGATAACATGTGATAGCACTCGTGGTCCAGTGGCAGAGCGTCGGCAAATTAACGCATTAATTAGCCAAGCTGTTGAGCCGGTGAAGCGAGTTCGAGCCCCCACAGCGCTAATGGGATCTGAAAAAGTGCGCCCGGTAAAGTGCACTACTCCCAATTCTACCATGAATTTGGAATTTACTCGATTCTGATTGGTCAATCAGAGGCTATTAAATCACAATAAACCCCCTCTGATTGAAACAGCTGGTTTGACAGCCGCATCACCGCGGAAGCTGATACTCATAGAATAGTACTATTTTCAGTCATTGTCGGTAGGCATATTTAAATAATTACATCTACAATTACAGGTTACAAAATGCACATATGTGGTTACTACAATATTCAAAGGATGTGTGGCAATACATTTCATGCAAAAAACACGATAGCAATCTACAAAGGGAATGTATTTACGTTTTGGAGACAACAGAGAGCTTGGAATTTTGGCACTTTTCTATATACGACTGTGACGTCATATATTTTGCGTCACAATGAGCGATATAACGTCATAATGGTGACTTGTGATGAAGAGCAAAAGCCTTGCAAAGCTTGCTTTGTTTTCTTTAGGGATGCCCACCTCATGTTAGCTTACCAAGTTGCCATACTTATATGCTTTAAATGCCTGTCATATGTTCAAGTGAAGTATTACGGTGTAAACAAACTGCTTCAGTATATACAGTGCCATATTTTGTTCGGTGAATCCGTAATTCACATCGACAACCCACTCAAAACACTGGACTCAACCCATGCCGCTTCACTCAGTATATTTGCTAACATCAAAGAGTTCGCGTTTTATTTAGTCAAGGTAGAATGGAGACATACTGTGTTTTCAATGTAGACCAAGGTTACCTGTAGATTTAACCGCGCTAAATTTAACATTTAAATTTTTAAATTAAATTTAGCGGGTTTAAATCTACAGGTAACCTAGCTCTACATTGGAACAGTGGCTTGATTGATAACACGGTTTTGGCAAGTTGACATGTAAATAAAACTAAGTAAACACTGATTGTCTGTATCATCAGAAACTAATCACGAAATTAATCAGTCATGTCAGTGTCATTTCGTGATTTTCATTTGGCCGATCGCGCGACTGTTGATTTAGAGACAACATACCTGACGTTTTCTACTTATCGATCTAACCGAAAACCGATCATTGCAATTATTTGATTATGAGGCTTCCTTCGGTAAACAAACGGCATGTTTCCAACTTGCATAACAGTAAATGAGAGTTACGTCCCCTTATGATATAAAATCCGGGCAATGGACCCAAACTGGACCAAATAATCGGATCTATATATAAACAGCCGTGTACCAACGTCCACACACTACCTCAGTTACATGTACCAATTGACTACTAAAACAGACATCGTATCCACAAATTTATGTTTACAAAAAAACGAGACGTTTATTCAATCCATCTTTAACAATGGATATTATGAAATTAAAAAATGATGCACACTCCTGAAATTGATCTGAACATTAATTTCATCTCAGTACAAAACCATTGACAATCACATAAATAAAAAATCCGAAGGGCGTAAGCAGTCCATTTTTGTTTAGATCGAACTCTGTCTCAACAGTATGAAGCTGGCACCCTGAAACTTCACGAATTGTGTACCTATGCCCTCCACCATCGATGGTCTCTTTTTTGTTTTCAGTTACCAGAAGTTTGAACATAAGCACCGCCCTGAATTCCCGTGCTCGTTGGTTTCACCTAACCGGTAAGCGTCTATAAGGCGGACTCACAAGGGTCATCTCGAACTTTCCCTCACATTAACCTGACACGGTGTGATACATTTGAATCATCGCTTTTTCTCTATAGTCACGAACGTGGTTTCTGTAATAAATAATGTCTTTGTGCATCACAATAAATGATATTAAAACACAAAACAGTGTCGAATAACGAAATTCTGTATCACAATTTCCATGTGAAAGATGTGAGGTGGGTGTTGGAAAATCCAAGATGGCTGTTACTGACGGTATTCGGTCTCATATTAGGTCAGTAACAACCATCTTGGATTTTTGCTGACGGTATACGGGCTCATATGGGGTTAGTTATTCTGCTCTCTGATTGGTCATTCTCACTTTCTTTGAGGCATAATAAAGGGCGTTATAAAGAACGAACAGTCGGTACCCCAAATTGTTTCAGTGTAGTAAGCACGAGTTGAGGTTGTATGAAGTGTAAATAGTGAGAAGTGATTTAAAGACATTTAGTAGATATAAGTATTGTAACTACTGTTCAGAGCGGCTTTACTTACTCACTGATATGGCTGTTAAAACTGTTCATAGCCATGTTAAACCCAACGCACTCACACTCATGTATGGTATTGTTCGCTTGAAGAATCGATTGATCTTGTGTGTGTGGTTGTCGCAAGGAGATCCCCACTTTGTGTTGGAAGCGCTTATAAAATATCCAATATCTTTTCATGTGATTCGCGTCTGATCTTTAACAGAAAACTGTGTGTTGCGGGCTGTATACTTTGTAGCAACACAGATTTCAAAATTAACCACTCCGAGATAGAATTCTCAAAATTTCAACATCAATCTTTTCTATCTCTTGTATTAAGAAATAACTGTCGTACTTTAAACTTCCTTCACTTGCTGGATGCGGTGTGGTGTGGTGGAGTAAGAGGTGGTATAGACAACTCTCAAGGCTGAATGTATCAGTGTGTTGTGTCAGTGCCTTCAGTTGCCTGATGTGGTGTGGTTGAGCAAGAGGTGGTATAGACATCTGTCAGGGCAGAATGTATCACTGTGTTGTGTCAGTGCCTTCAGTTGCCTGATGTGGTGTGGTTCGAGCAAGATGTGGTATAGACAACTGTCAGAGCTGATTGTATCACTGTGTTGTGTCAGTGCCTTCAGTTGCTGGATGTGGTGTGGTGGAGCAAGAGGTGGTATAGACAACTCTCAAGGCTGAATGTATCACTGTGTTGTGTCAGTGCCTTCAGTTGCTGGATGTGGTGTGGTGGAGCGAGAGGTGGTATAGACAACTGTCAGGGCTGAATGTGTCACTGTGTTGTGTCAGTGCCTTCAGTTGCCTGATGTGGTGTGGTGGAGCAAGATGTGGTATAGACAACTCTCAAGGCTGAATGTATCACTGTGTTGTGTCAGTGCCTTCCGTTGCTGGATGTGGTGTGGTTGAGCAAGAGGTGGTATAGACAACTGTCAGGGCTGTATGTATTACTGTGATGTGTCAGTGCCTTCAGTTGCCTGATGTGGTGTGGTGGAGCAAGAGATGGTATAGACAACTGTCAAGGCTTAATGTATCACTATGTTGTGTCAGTGCCTTCAGTTGCCTGATGTGGTGTGGTTGAGCAAGAGGTGGTATAGACAACTGTCAGGGCTGAATGTATCACTGTGTTGTGTCAGTGCCTTCAGTTGCTGGATGCGGTGTGGTGGAGCAAGAGGTGGTATAGACAACTCTCAAGGCTGAATGTATCACTGTGTTGTGTCAGTGCCTTTAGTTCCTGGATGTGGTGTGGTGGAGCAAGAGGTGGTATAGACAACTGTCAAGGCTGAATGTATCACTGTGTTGTGTCAGTGCCTTCAGTTGCCTAATATGGTGTGGTTGAGCAAGAGGTGGTAAAGACAACTGCCAGGGCTGAATGTATCACTGTGTTGTGTCAGTGCCTTCAGTTGCTAGATGTGGTGTGGTGGAGCAAGAGATGGTATAGACAACTCCCAAGGCTGAATGTATCACTATGTTGTGTCAGTGCCTTCAGTTGCTGGATGTGGTGTGGTGGAGCAAGAGGTGTTATAGACAACTCCCAAGGCTGAATGTATCACTGTGTTGTGTCAGTGCCTTCAGTTGCCTGATGTGGTGTGGTGGAGCAAGAGGTGGTATAGACAACTGTCAGGGCTGAATGTATCACTATGTTGTGTCAGTGCCTTCAGTTGCTGGATGCGGTGTGGTGGAGCAAGAGGTGTTATAGACAACTCCCAAGGCTGAATGTATCACTGTGTTGTGTCAGTGCCTTCAGTTGCCTGATGTGGTGTGGTGGAGCAAGAGGTGGTATAGGCAACTGTCAGGGCTGAATGTATCACTGTGTTGTGTCAGTGCCTTCAGTTGCCTGATGTGGTGTGGTGGAGCAAGAGGTGGTATAGACAACTGTCAAGGCTGAATGTATCACTGTGTTGTGTCAGTGCCTTCAGTTGCCTGATGTGGTGTGGTGGAGCAAGAGGTGGTATAGACAACTGCCAGGGCTGAATGTATCACTGTGTTGTGTCAGTGCCTTCAGTTGCTAGATGTGGTGTGGTGGAGCAAGAGATGGTATAGACAACTCCCAAGGCTGAATGTATCACTATGTTGTGTCAGTGCCTTCAGTTGCTGGATGTGGTGTGGTGGAGCAAGAGGTGTTATAGACAACTCCCAAGGCTGAATGTATCACTGTGTTGTGTCAGTGCCTTCAGTTGCCTGATGTGGTGTGGTGGAGCAAGAGGTGGTATAGACAACTGTCAGGGCTGAATGTATCACTATGTTGTGTCAGTGCCTTCCGTTGCTGGATGCGGTGTGGTGGAGCAAGAGGTGTTATAGACAACTCCCAAGGCTAAATGTATCACTGTGTTGTGTCAGTGCCTTCAGTTGCCTGATGTGGTGTGGTGGAGCAAGAGGTGGTATAGGCAACTGTCAGGGCTGAATGTATCACTATGTTGTGTCAGTGCCTTCAGTTGCTGGATGCGGTGTGGTGGAGCAAGAGGTGTTATAGACAACTCCCAAGGCTGAATGTATCACTGTGTTGTGTCAGTGCCTTCAGTTGCCTGATGTGGTGTGGTGGAGCAAGAGGTGGTATAGGCAACTGTCAGGGCTGAATGTATCACTGTGTTGTGTCAGTGCCTTCAGTTGCCTGATGTGGTGTGGTGGAGCAAGAGGTGGTATAGACAATTGTCAAGGCTGAATGTATCACTATGTTGTGTCAGTGCCTTCAGTTGCCTGATGTGGTGTGGTGGAGCAAGAGGTGGTATAGACAACTGTCAGTGCTGAATGTATCACTGTGTTGTGTCAGTGCCTTCAGTTGCTGGATGTGGTGTGGTGGAGCAAGAGGTGGTATAGACAACTCTCAAGGCTGAATGTATCACTGTGTTGTGTCAGTGCCTTCAGTTGCCTGATGTGGTGTGGTTGAGCAAGAGGTGGTATAGACAACTGCCAGGGCTGAATGTATCACTGTGTTGTGTCAGTGCCTTCAGTTGCTGGATGCGGTGTGGTGGAGCAAGAGGTGGTATAGACAACTTTCAGGGCTGAATGTATCACTGTGTTGTGTCAGTGCCTTCAGTTGCTGGATGTGGTGTGGTGGAGTGTGAGGTGGTATAGACAACTTTCAGGGCTGTATGTATCACTGTGTTGTGTCAGTGCCTTCAGTTGCTGGATGTGGTGTGGTGGAGCGTGAGATGGTATAGACAACTGTCAGAGCTGAATGTATCACTGTGTTGTGTCAGTGCCTTCAGTTGCCTGATGTGGTGTGGTGGAGCGTGAGGTGGTATAGACAACTGTCAAGGCTGAATGTATCCTCAGATGAAACAAAACTTCGTCAAGGAAACTCAGCTGTTCATATACGCAGCAGTTGTTCATCCCAACTGTTGTACATCAATTTATTAAATTACCTTTAATAGACAATTGTCCATAACGTTTACATTTCAAAGTCTGAAAGTTGGCTTGTCCAAGTATATGATGCCATCCATTTCAAGAATAGAAGTCCTGCTATAATGAGGAAACTGTTTATCAATTTCTACAGGTATCTATTATGCCTTTAGGTGTGGTTCAGTTAAATGAATATTCTATTTCATTAATATTTCTATTTCATGAAATGAATATTCTATTTCATTGATATTCTTATAATTAGAACCTCATACAGTTATCACAATCAATGGATCTATTATACCGCGTAAGTACTAAATATGAAAATGTTATTGATTAATATCACTCAGATTCACATGAGGGTTAAGAAGCAACTATAAATCTATTATGAAAATGCATTTTTAAACCCGTTCTATATGCTAGTATTATGAAACTACGATGCGCTGCAACCATGTACGATATCAATGTATAGATGGCACCATTGCCCTTTTGTCAAATATGCAAACAAATTGTCTCTCTGTGCGTGAATATCAATCAGAATGTATCATATATTTTTGATAAACCATCTTCTGTATTCAGTAGAAATAGCTAGGCTTCATGTTAATTTGGAGGAGGGGTAGCCTGATAGCCTCATAGAAGATCTGGGTTCGATTCCCCACTTGGATGT